ACTTATCAACATTTTTGCGATTTTAGGATCAGTTTCTATAGAAAATTTTTAATTCCGAGATCTGACAATTTTTCGACCAGTTTTTTTTTAAAGCATCATAACATTGATAAATTTCATTAAAATAATGGTACTTAGCAAGAGCAAAATTAGCTATGCAATTAAAAAAATGTCTTCTTTTTAATTTTTTTCATAGTAAGCGTTTTCCCCATGCAATTGTCTCGGAATATTCAAAATTCTCAGAATATGCATCACTTTTCTCTATAAAATTAATTTTACGCTTTTTCCCTCCTTCTTTTTTTCAAAATATTTCTGACTTTTTGCTGTTACAGAATTGGTAGGGATAATTTTTCTTTAGTATTTTAGACATTGCAGCTTGGAAAGTTTAGAAGGGTTTGAAGTCAAGATTTATAGACCTACGATTCTAGAAGATTCGAGAAATATGTGACAAAATGAAAAATGTCTCCATGATATCGACACGTAATGGATGTATTTTACAGAAAGTTTGCAATGAATTTCTTACCTTTTAGAGGACGTCTGGAAAGAACAATGAAAACATAATATTTAAATATTTTACTCCTGATACTAGAATCAATCTTTTTCTTAACATGTTTATCTTCCCTTTATTTTCTCTACCTTTCACTAGACACAAGCATCAAAAATGCTTCTAATCTTATCACTGGGCAGGCATTATAGAAAAAGATTTTTTTATTAATAAAGGAAATTGAAAACTTACAATTTAAAAAGATTCATCTAATATGCCTTAATGCAGCAGGGACACAGAGCTGGCACTAGGCATTTTCCCACCTGATGCAATCTCTGTGGATTTTAAATTCTGCTTCTAATGCCTGTTCTAAATTCTAAAAGTTTTGCTATTTCTAGATTTTGTTGTTCGATGTGTCACTAAATTCTAAAAATTCTGCCACACCAGCTTTGTAACTGTGCTTTACCATATATATTTCATATTTCTTCTGAATGTTCATATTATTAAAGAAATAGAATTAGCCACTTTTTCTATACATTCTAAATGCATTTAGTGTTTTTTAGAATAACAGAAATAATTAGATCCAAAAATTCTAAAATGAAAAGGAACCGTGTTGAAGAAAGAAACTGAATACATAAAGAAAATTACTCCTCAAAGGTATTATTATGTAACTTACCCAATTGTTTATAATTCCAGCCTTTCAGTTTATGATTCATTCGGGGATTTGGGACTATTTAACTTTGACCAGATCAAGTAAACCCTCATAGGTACCTTGTGGAGATGTTGATAAGTTAGGAGATAAGCACACAGAAACTAACGAGAGCATTGGTTTGCATATTGAGACAACTCTCTAATTGTTAGAAAAGATGATTAAAGAGAAGGAAATCAATATAAACTAGCCAAAATGTTTGGAAAGGCTTCAAATTAAAATGAAAGATAAATATTTTGTTGAGTGTTGTTATAAAACATAAATGTTTTGTAGCTTTTAATGTGTATCCTAATATCATTTAAGAATCAATGTCATAAATTACATGTATTTTAAACTGTGAAATTTTATTAGATTTTAATTTTAATAGGCTTTTTTTAACAAATATTGTTAAAAAATAAAATTTAATAGTGGCCATGTAATTCCATAATGACTAAAGTTATCTAATTACCTAATTTAATTATTTATAACTAACTGCTTACCCTTAAAAGTTATCTCTACATATTAAAGCGAGTTATTGCCTTTCACTAACACTTACTATGGTCACAAGATAAAACACATAAATTTAAAAATTCAAGTAAAACTTATTCTTTGCATCAAGTGAAACTTAAAAATAACACAAAACAACTTGTCATCTCTGTTACTTTAATCGCTTATTGGAACTTTAAAGTATATTAACTGGGCTACAATCCCTTGGAACTCTACACAAATCTATGACACTAACTGCATCAAACAGAGCCTGACTAAGTTTCAACACTTGCCAACTGTGTCTACATCAGACCTTTCAGGTTTGTTCTAATGAGCAGGTCTCTCTCTAGACAAGCAACAGTGGTGACAACATTCAGTCTTTTGTTATGAATCATGCTGATTATGATCTTATTTCTCATTTTAACCTATACCGTTTGACATAAAATCTACCTGCTATTTACTAAACTTCTAGACTGACTAAGTATGTAACAAAATGAGACATAAAAAAATCCACATAAAGCTAACTATTAGTAAAACGTAAGTAAATGTCATCTTCTTTCGAAATTTATCCAACTATGTAATGTAAGTGTAAAATATTTAATCCTACTTGATAAATTGTATAAAGTTTATTTTATTCTCAAACTTATTATTGTAGACGCTATGCTTGCGTTATGTTAATTAATCATTATGTTAATTAATTCATGTTTAGTAATAATGCATACTACCCAGGGATCTATTGTATTTTTAGTATGGTATTACAAAAGTGAAATTCAGGCATAAAATAGTATTTTTAATTGAATTTATTCAGTTCCCATTTGCTCATAGGTCCTTAATTTTTTCATTAATGGTCCTTAAAAGTCCTTAAAAGTACTTAATTTCTGTGTGCAGAAATGTGTACGAACCCTGTAATTATGTTTGCCTCATGGTGGAAGGATCTAAAGAAACAAATGGTTGCCAGTGCTGTTTGTTGGACTCTTGAATGGCATGTGAAATGTTTAATAATCTGTTAATGGCTATCCATTAAGAACTAATCTGAATTTGAATGCAAAATGATATTTGGAGCTGGAGGCATGGGTTTGAAACCTGTTGAGACTATTAAGATTCCTTCTGCTGCATTATTGGGGTAGCAAATTTCATTCTTCCAAAAGTGAGGATTTATTACCTGGGATGGTGTTGATAGCATGCAGTGCCTTTTTTTAGAGCTTTCCATACATGCCGCATAAGGATTACATCCAGCAACTTCACTGGTGATGCAAATAATCACTTCTTCTGGAAAGTCATCAACCAAGTTATATGTGACTGTATATTAGCATCTATAAAAATTAGCAGCTTTCTAGACTCTTCCCAACAGTTCCTTGGATTCTACCTAAAGTTGAAGAATTTCACCCCTATAATGTTTTGTGGTCACAGTCGCACCTCAAAGACAGGCAGTGATTTACATCATCCAGCTTGATATTTCCCCACACAAGGATTCTACTTCTGCCTAAACAGTTAATTTTTCTTTGCTCTTGGTTGCTTCATAGTGGGCTTTAAGCTGTCTCCAGATGAAGACCTATCAAGAATCCCCTATGTACTGAATCTCGCTCATCACTGAAGAGGACATGACCCCAATTTTGCTGTATTCAAGAATGGTATACCTGGCTCCACAAAAGATGTGCTTTCTTCTATGATCTGTTGAAAGGAGCACATACTGTTAATCGCGGGGCATGTACGGTCTACTGTGATAGGCATGTCGATAAAATTTGCGTGAAAATTTTTGTTCCAGGTAAGATGTTGAGATCATAAGAGAGCTTCTAGCCATCCTCTGTGGCATCATGCATTTCATTTCATATATTGATTCATTGCAGGTATCATGGCTCAAGGATGGCTTTGGCCTGCCTTTATAATGATGGTACCCCTAGTTTGGACTCAGTACCTTTTCACGCCATAATATAATAGCACATCATCATTTGAAACATCGCAACCATTAATGATCTCTACTTGGGACTGGCCATCCTGAGGACTACTCACAGCTCTCTAACTTACGTCATTTAAATGATTGTAATAACTAATTTTAATCAAAATCTGTCAGTCTTCTAAGTTTTCATGTAAGAAACTTAATTCTATAGAAGAATTGCACAGATTTGAAAACTTGTCACTTTCATGTTTTGATTTTCAAATTGGTGTCTTTTCTGAGTCCTTAAAAAATGTTTCCATTTAATCTTTTGAACACCACTAGTTGTTTACAGTACATTTAACCATTTCCCAAATTGTGCACAACATTTTTTTAATAAGTGCGATAACTATATTGTGGCAAAAAAATATGTTTGTAACTAATTTTGAATACTAGTATAAATGAAAAGTAACATTTGCTCAGTAAATAAGTATTTGGCTTACTTGGGGGGGGGGAAACCACTCAGTTATCTGAATTCATTTTAATACAGTTAGTCTGAATATTTGGAGTTTTACTGTATTATCAATTATTGTTTTGTTAAAATAGCTCTTCAAGCCTTTGCACTCCAACTACTCTTCCAAGGCAAATAAAATGGTTGCCATTATACTCCAAGGCACCAAAATAATAGTTGTGCGCTAAAGATGGAATGCTACAAATATTAGTGAGATGCCAACTTCTAGAAAAATTTTCCTGTTTTTTCCTTTCTGTCTTCATTACCCATTTTTTCATCACTAGTATGACAATGGTGCAGTAGCATCTCTTTAAATGCAAATCTAAATTTTCCTGCTTGTATGTGCATCATTCTCAAGGGTTTTTATTATAATTATACCTTGTTATCCTTAATTTAAAATTATATTTTATATTTATGCCTATCAAATTGATGACTACATAATTACTTATTCCTAACTGAAAATGTATGCTATTTAAAATACTGGATGGAGAGGAACTTTTATGGTAGAATAACAGTGATAGTGAGTTTTTATTTATTTATTTATTTCATGAGGTGGAAATATATCTAAATGGTATAACCATAATTACAGTAAGTATAAGAGGTACAAACTTGAAGGTAAGTTTTACAGTTTTGAACTTAGTTTGGGTGAGTGTAGGAAGGAATAAAATGGAAGAAAAATGTGGGGAAAATTTTTTTTTTTTTTTTTTTTTGAAGATAGTAATGATAGTAGGTTTAGTATTTATTTAAATGGGAATTAGTGAATAAAACAAGAAAATTAAAGATTAATTTTTTGAAAGATAGGAGTGATAATGAATTTCATTTTAATCTGAGAAGAAATGTAAAGGAAAAGATCAGAAATGAAATTTTCTTAACTTAAGCTACCCCCTTTTTTTTGTTAATGGAAGTAAAAATGAGTTTTAATTTTTTGATGACAGTGATAACGAATTTGATTTTGATATAGATTCAGAAAAGGATGTATCTGAAGAGTGTGAGAGATCAAGTATTCATTCTGATGATAGTGACTTTATTCCACCATTAAGGGAAAAAGTAAGAAGACTGCAATCCAGTGATACCAGTGAAAGTGTAGAAAATTTAGATGTATATAGTGAAGATTATTCTTTTAGTGATTGATAGCAAAACCTTAAAAAGACATAGTATTCCCAATTGATTGGATTCTTCAATTGCTCCAGTGCCTTAAAGCATCTGTAATTCCCCCCCCCAAAAAAATATGTTCATTTATTTGTATACGAGGGCTATCCAGAAAGTAGATTACATTTTGGAATAAAAAAATAAACAAAGTATAGGAAACAAATTTTATTATATACAGATGAAAGCCACACTCAAATACTACTTTTCTACATAGTCACCATACAAATTAAGGCATTTATCGTAGCGATGTACGAGCTTGGAAATTCCTTCGTCGAAAAATTCGGCCGCCTGCGCCTTCAACCACTTCGTTACCTCTTCTTGCCTTCCATCTTGCACAAAAACTTGTGGTAACCAAGCTTTTCGCTGATGATTTCGTGCAACAAACTTCGCGAAATTTGTGGAAAACTCAAAGAAAGTTCCGTTATTGTGAAATTTCGATTTTCACGGACTTTAGCATCGACTTTTTCGAGAAGTTCGGCGGCTGGTCACTATGCTGGGTCTCCCACTTCGATCTTCGTCGTGAACATTGGTTCGGCCATTTTGAAATCTTATGACTCACTGACGTACTCCACCTTCAGTGATAATGTTGTCCCCATACACTTCACGAAGCTGCCGATAGATTTCTATCGGTTTACAGTTTTTTGGCAGTCAGAAACCTTATTACTGAGCGCACCTCGCAGCTCGCGGGATTTTCAATTAACGCAGACATTTCAAACCGTCACAGTATCTGAACGGAGCACAGCACGAACCTCTCACTAGCACGGCTAGATGCAGACTGAGCTGCGCAACACTCTGACCCCAAGATGGCCGCACTAGCCCCGCCCCTAGCGGACACAGACGGAAACGTAATCTACTTCCTGGATGGCCCTCGTATATTATGGCAAAAAAGTTGGATTTTTTGGAAAATGTAGCCAAAGGAAAGTCTGGAGTGAAAAGGCTTGCATCAGCTAATTTGACTAAAAAGGAAGGTATATACTTAGCATTTGTGCTATTTTCATTGATTTTTTTTTTTTTTTTTTTTTTTTTTTTTTTTTTTTGTTGACATGAAATCAAATCCATAAATCTGTATTTTCTGCACTGTTTTCTGCATGTTTTATTGCATGCAAAAAAAAAAAAAAGAGAGAGAGAGAGAGAGGTGTGTAAAAGAATTATTAAAAAGGAGTCATAATTCAGTATTTCTGAAATCCAAATACCTATCAGAAGTTCACATTTTTCACAAAACAGAATTTTGCAGATTTGTGGATTTGTGGTTTTGGTGTAATGCCAATGTATTATTTTACTGAGGAGAAAAAACTTGTTTCATGTATTTCAGAGTGTGATCTTAACTTGCTTTTGGTTGCACATAATTTAAAAATCATACTCACTTATATTGTTGATTACTTGCTGGCTGCACTCATATTTTTGATTAATTGTATTACATATCAATTTATTTATTTGTTGTGAACAATCTCCATAAACAAACTTTGGGGGATGATAGAGAACATTTATATGAGCCATAATCATACAGGAAAACATGACTGGGAAAGGATAGATGGTGAAGAACATACATTGTTTTCAAATGATGAAAATGTACAACAGCATTAGTGTAGTCACAAGCCTTAATGAGGAAACTCCATGTATCAATCGGTAGCACTGATGTAGCACACCATCATTTTATTCCTGGTTCTGTTTTCCTATGTGAATATGGTTCATATCAATGTTTTATACCTCACTTCAAAGTTTGTTTGTGAAATTATGATACAATGAGTTTGATCAAAATCCTGACACCCACCAAACATAAGGTGAACTATTCGAGGGAGACTCAATCCGCCTTGTTCCAGCGGTACCATATGATTAACCAAACATAAAATATCAGATTCTGCCACTGATGTTGGAGTATGGTATAGAAAATAGTAAATTGGTGAAAAAAAAAATAGTAAGTTTGCTATGTTTGCTACCTTCCAGACCTCTTTTTAGAGGATTCCATTTCACAGGCAATCAAAGTGATCGATTTACTTAGCCTCTAGTTCACTGAGCAAGTAACAACCAAATTTTCACAATTTTTATCAAATGTGTATTACATTTTTTGCAAAATTAGTAGGAAACGGGGATCTGAACAATTTTGCCATGAAGTAACTGGATATAGGAAAATCTATTCATGAAATGTTTACAGTGCATTCCCATTTTATTGTGAATGATGTCATAATGAAGTAGAAATGTGCGGGAGCTACAATTATGCATCTGCAACTTAACTGACCTTATCATCTGTTCGAGAGAAATCAGAAAGTGGAGAAGAGGTTGTTAAATAGAACTGAGAAAACATTTGTTCCGAATCCCAATATACTTCTGGTTATACTAATACAATGATAATTTGCTGATAGCTCCGAACTTGAAGTTGATTTTGATGGCTATTATATACTAGTGCTAAACACTATTTAGGGTCATTTCAGTGACACTGGAGTTAAAGCTGTTATAAAAAAATGCTATAAATTGAAATATCTCATGACTATTCGATAATCTAATTTTAATGTACACTATCTGGGAATCGGCCAAGTGAATAGTGTGCACTTGATGGTATTGTAAAGTCTGCTTATGGAATCTTAATGTTTAAAGATGTTTCCATGTTTGACTTAATACCCTAGTTTGTGTGAGAGAAGCTATGAACGACAATTCTGTGCTGTCCACATCATGGCAATGGTTTTGATGCAACACCATTCATATTTCAATATGATCATGTTCCCATTCATAGACCATATGCCATACAGAACTGGTGTGTTGAAGAATTAGATTGGCCTGCCTGGGCCTTGACTTCATTTCTTTAAGGATAAATTGAAATATTGGATGTTAGCCTGGTGTGTTGCCCCACTTTGGCAATAAAATTTACCATTGCTTTTCTACAAAAATGGTATTGAATCCAGCTGAAGCCTTGGTATACCGTGAATAGCTTCTAATAATAGTAATAACTCTTATCATTGCAAGAAATAACCCTGCATTGTATTAATTTTTTACTTATGTGGGAGGAAAATCAACATGAGAATGTGTTTGTGTACTTTTGATCTCATGCTGTATCTAAAATTTTTATCATATCAATATAAATTGTATATTATTTTTTAATTAGATTTCAAAAAATACTTTAAGTTTTAATTTTGAAATTTTAATAATGAGATTGTGTTTACTCCTAGTATATACAGATTGCTTCATTTTGATAGCTTAATTCAATTAAAACTGAAATATAGGAAACATTTATCATAATGCAGTTATTTGTCTTAGTTAAAATTAAACACAACTAACTGCATTATGATAAAAGTGAGCTGAATTTGAAATCTTTTTTTTTTCTTAAATTTGATAATTGTATTTAAATTAGTTTAAAGTGCAATCAAAATTTAAGGAATTTTCTATCATAGCTGAGATTTTGTTGAATGATTTTCAACAGACAAGGCTATGAAAACAAGTTACTAAATTTTACTTTTCAGCTTTTGTTTCCAGTTGTATATTTAATGTGTTAAAGATAATGATTTTTTAACATATTCATATTAAAATATGTTATACAGCATTAAAAACAAGTTTACAATATGGTATATAAAAGTTTACAGTGTAAAATGAATACTTTTAGCTAAAATATTATATGAAAAGTTAATGGTGTTTTTAAGGTATATTTTTAAATGTATGCTATTTTTATGCAATGTACTTTTAAAAAAGATAACATTTGAAAATTGTAATGAAAAAAAATTTGGGGGTGGCAGTTTTGTGCCTTTGTTTTAGCAGTCTTGTCTATATTTGTGCAAAAAAAAATTTTTTTTTTTTTTTCTAATGTTGTAAGATGCCAGTTTCAGAACCTCTGTCTGTATAATAAGATTCTCTACCAATTTCAGAACCTCTGTCTTTTCTTAATCAAGTCTATCCATTACTGCATTTAACCTTGTTTATTCATAGCTTTTTATGCATTTGGAAATATTTAATTACAAGTATTATTTTTATTTTGGAAATATTTGATGGACAAATTATTTTATTAGCAAATATTCAGTATACAATAATATTAATGAACACGCTATTATTTAAAAGCAAAGAGTGATTAGTCATACTGAGCCTGTGCTGAATAAAATGCATGTGTGCCTTTTGACTTTTGAAAAGCTTAACTTGAATGACTGTTAACTGAAAGCTATAATAATAACGTACCCATCTGATTAACGCATATTTGATGTACACAGTGTATTAAAAACATTCCAAGACTGATTGCACCCAACCATATTATGCAAAGGATATACTCACATTTTATATTATTCATCTACATAGTCTTCCCATCTCTTTGACGTTTTGTTTCCAGATTGTACTCGAGAAACCCAAGTCTCATCTCTGGTGATAATGTTTTGCAAAATAATTGGATCCTGATTGACCACAACAATCAAATGATTGCAGGAGGGAATTCAGTGTTCGTTTTGTTCAGGAGAGTGCATCACGAAGAGCATATAAAGTTTCTTTTTTTCCTTTCGAATTCTTTGCCATGATTGCGAAAACAGGTCCTACACTAATGTTTAACGACTATCATTTCTATCATTATTTGGTGGTTAGATCTCACCAACACTTGTACACAGCATTTGCATGATTTTGACTTGAACATCGGCAAACTCTCATCATCTGTGATCAAGTGTCTTCCAGCTTTAAACCTTCAAAATGCTCAGACAATCTCAAACGATTCATAGCGTAATCAGCATGTGCAGATTTAATCATAACATACATTTGAAACACTCGCATATACAGGCTTTGTGCAAATTAAATCTGCCTGATCAGAACTAGTCAGATATTAATACACATTACACGATTAGTACACAAATAATTGATACACTTGGCTGTAGTTCATTGCATGTCATCCTGCCATTTTTGCAAAGATAGACTCATTTTTACTTTTAGGGGAGCTTTTGAGTACATTGTATATTATTTCTATTAAATGCAATAGTTTTACAGTTAAGTAAGCTTGTATTAATCCTTAAAAGAATCACTTAATTAATTAAATAATTAAGAGATAATTTTAAATGATGCTTTATTGACACCTAACAACAACATACAGGAAAACGATAAAACTAAAAAAAGTGGTATAACATAAAACAGTTTTTAAAAGTTCAGAGCGTGAGTTCAAACAATCACATTTCACT